ACTCTGAGCTATTAGTTAAGTTCTCCCCAAGCGAGCTCGATGGGCCGAATGGCCTCCTCTCGTTTGTATAGTTCTTATGTTCTTATGTATCTGGTTGGCTGTATTGTTCTGAAGATGTGACCTCTGCAGGAGAGTTGAAGTCACTGATATCACAATAGGTATTGATGGTCTCAGTCTGATTTGAATTCCTTTCCGCCTGTCTTCAAGAGATGTTTTCTGTTTCTCCTTCACGTTCTTCCATCTGGTGTCTGGACAATGAATGACCTCGGTTGAGCTTAGTGATGACAACTGCTGGTTGCCAACCATCCGGTCTCTGAATTCTCACTTTTTCTTCAGTGTGAATGTTTTGAAGACATCTTGTTTGTCTGTCATAACATTTCTGTTTGAGTTGTTTCTCCTTCAGCTTGTCATGAGTCTGAATTTTGTTTTCAGGCGTCAGCAAAGTGGTGGATGTGGGAAGTTTAGACTTCAGCCAACGACCCATTAGGAGTTGTGCAGGTGAGTAACCTATACCTTCTAATGGCGTATTGCGATACTCTAACATTGCAATGTAAGGATCTCCCTTAGCATGTTGTGCCTTTTTAAGTCAGTTTTTGACAGTTTGAATCATTCTTTTGGCTTGTCCATTTGACTGAGTGTGACCTGGGCTTGATGTAATATGTCTGAAATTTTCTGAATTCGAAACTGGCGAATTGCAAACCATTGTCTGAAATAACAATGTTTGGAATGCCATGCCTGACAAAAATTGACTTGAGAGAATTGATGACACTTTGGGTTGTGGTGGCTGATAATTTGAGAATCTGTGGGAATTTGGAATAAAAATACAGAGAATATATTCTGATCCATTGTGGTGGAAAAGATCTGTTCCGATCTTGGACCATGGTCTTCCTGGTAATGAATGTGGAATTAGAGGCTTGCGTGGATTATTGTTTTTGTTGGTGTTACGTACAGAGCATTGTGACACATATTCTTCAATCTGCGCTGACATATTTGGCCAATATAAAAAGTCTCTTGCTCTTCCTTTGCATTTTACTACTCCTAAATGCGATTTTGAATCTTACCAAGCATTTCTTGTCGCAGCTGAGTTGGTACTATGAGCTTTGCAGCTTTGAATGGTAATCCTGATGTGTAATTAATTTCTTCCTTGAATCTCCAGTACGTTCGAATTTCTTTAGGAACAGCGTCTCTGCCATCCCTTCATTGTCATCATGTGTAATTGCTGCATCTCAGGATCAGCAGCTATTGCTGTTCGGAACGTGGTCAGCTTTTCAGTTGTTATGGGCAGCTGGGGTGTAACCCAATTAAATTCAAGTTCTTCACCAAGCAAATCTTCAGCTTGCTTGTTTGATAAGCCCTGCTCAATGCATCAGCAATGTGCATTTCTTTTCCAGGTTTGTGTATTACATTGAAACTGTACCTTTGAAGTCTGAGCATCTATTTTGTGTAGTGGCTTTTTGAATATTGTCTCTAAGGGTTTGTGGTCACTCTCCAGTAGAATGTGTTTGCCATGCACATATTGATGGAATTTTTCACAACCATACACTATGGCTAACAGCTCTTTTTCTATTTGTGCATACCTGCGTTTGGAATCTTGTGAGTGCATGAGATCCATAGGGAACAGGTCTTCCTTCTTGGAGAACTACTGCTCCTATGCCTTCAAAATTGGCATCTACTGATAGTGTCACAGGTTTGTTCACATCGTAGAACTTCAGTATCGGGGCATTTGTTCTTGTTTGTATTTCCAACACTCTGAATTTTATTTACTTCAACTTCTTCATTCAGGACTTTTGGATCAGATCTGATTCTCATAATAATCTTGCATGCAGCTGATCTTTCCTGATGCTGCACACAATTCTGTCTCTAATCAGTGAGTCATTTAATTCACCGAATTCACAATCTTTTGCCTTATTTTTCAGGTCTGTGACGTACACGTCAATGCTTTCAGAAGGACCTTGAGCTCTCGTGATGAACAAATGTCGAATATACGGTAAGTACTTTCTTGGCTCACAGTAGTTTCTGAACTTGTTTTTTAACAGATCTATTTTATCACGTTCTTCCTCGGTGAATTCTAGCGTGTTATTCACCTTCACAGCTTCTTCTCCCGCGACGTGCAGAAATGTGGCACACTGAATTTTCTCCGACCTCTCGGCAATTCCACTTGCAGTTACAAATAGGTCATATTTTTGTACCCATAGCTTCCAGTTTTCCGCAAGGTTGCCTTGTAAACATAGAGGCGAAGGTGGTTGTAATTGCTTCTATGGCATAAAATCCCGTTCTGACACCGTGTAATGTTCCTTAACTGAATTTGCAAAGACAGGCGTACGACCATGTGCTGTGCTCAGAATCACTTTTCAAATAATGTCGTCTCCTTCATAACCAGGAACGTTTCTCATGTTCACACTGCAAGAACTCGGCCTGATTGTAGTTCCTTAGGGACAGTTCAGGAACCCTTTAGTACCTCCTCCAGACTAAGTACTTTTAGTTTGAACATAAACTATTGGGGCGGTGCTTACAGTGATACAGCTGATTGGTTAACCACAAGCACTGCCAGAAACATTACTTCTCTTCCTCTTTTTAAATCTAGACTCAAAACTCACTTGTTTAAAATTGTTTATTCAACATAACCTTTTTTTTATTCTGTCTTTTTAATTTGTATTGTTTTATATAGATTTTGTAAATTGTTTGCTTTTATGTTTGTTTTTTATCATTTGTTGTGTACAGTGTCCTTGAGTGTCTTGAAAGGCGCTTTTAAATAAAATGTATTATTATTATTATTATTATTATTAAACTTGGAAGTTATGCTGAAGTGCAGAGAGAAGTGGAGCAAAAATTGAGCAAATGGAATTATTTTTATATTTCACTTACATTTACTGAGTACATTTTTTGCTTGCATCTCCCTATTTTTGCATCGGAAAATTCAAACGATAACCACTTTACTTTTGTCTAATATTGTTACTGCTGGTGTTATGCTGAAAAAGTCATCCCTGGCGTAGAATGCATGTCTGTCTCTGGAGTTCACTCCATGGAAACTAGCAAAAGGAAAGCTGTATTTTCTATTTTTAACGATTGTTTCTGTCTATGTAAGCTCATAGAACGTATCTAACATATCACACGACATTGTACTTTTTTAACATATACAACATAGTTTAGTGCCGGTGAGCACTTGTAAATAGTCCCAGGTGTATCTTTTCTTGGTGTTTATACACTACACTATATTGCCAAAAGTTTTGGGACACCTGCGTTTAAGTGGCACCGTGTGGCTCAGTGGGCTAAGCTTGTGTGCCTGTAATCAGAAGGTCACCAGTTCAAACCCAGCCTCAGCATGTCTGCAGGTCCTTCAGCAAGGACCCTAACTCCTTGGGTGCTGCTATAGGTGACCCACCTTACACTTCAGCTCTCCTCTCTCTTGGGATCATTTCCTTTTCCATTTGACCCAGCTCTAAAGTACAACAACAAACCGCTAAATTAATAATATTTTATTATTTATAATGGGGCATGTGTTTGAAACATAAACCAACGACAGTCTCTGAGGGATTCAGTCTCCCAGGGACACAAATCCTAATCAGAACTTCATAAAAACAGCCCAAATGGTGCCCCTTGCTTAGAGTGATGGGGGGGGGGGCTGTCATCTGAGACACTGTAACTGCAGCCCACCAATGTAACACATCAGGCTGATGCAGTAAGCTTCTAATGGACTGTCCTCCGACCACACAGATGGAGAGATAGCCTGGGTAGCCATTTACTGCCTTAAAACATCCCCTGTTCTCTATTCTCTCACCATCTCTCTCCCTAAGTCTGTTTATATCTCTATGACTCCTTTTATTTTGTTCCAATGAACAGTGTAATTAATACATTATTTATATCTCTGTGTGCTCATGGTGCAAGCTTTTCAAGACCGAGATTTCAACGATTCATTCCACCCAGTTGTCTGACTGTAGTCACACGAGGGTGCAGTTACTCTCCAATTTACGTGGCATCAGGTCCACCGCGAATCGATGAGGACGGACCATGCAGGACAGAACCTCCCGACCGCGACTCTCCGCCCAACATGTGGATGAGAAGAGGCAAGAACGTTCTGTTAATGTTACTGTGAAAAACTGAATTTAAAAAGCGCAGCTGCCTTATAGTTTAATTCAAACATTTAAAGGATAAGCAATTTCTAGTCTTACAATGTTGAATCCAACTGCATATACCCTCAAAGGATTTTCCTCCCAGAGGCTAAATTATCAGAAAAGGTATTTAATTCTTCACTTGTGGGGTATCTGTCTGGTTCCAGTACCTCAGGTTCCCACAGAGTTTGGACGTAAACAGGTTCTCGCCCGTTTATGGCTTAACCCCTCCCATGCTGGACACAGACCGTTCAAAGCACTACGCTCCAGCGTCATTCAACACCAGAACCACATACCACAAAAACAGCTTCTTCCCCTCAGCAGTTGAACTCATCAACAATGACATTGCCCCCCCCCACTCTGCACACAGATAATCTGATTTTTGCACCTGTCTATTCTACTTTGCAGATCACATATGTGCTATTTCAATACTCAGTTAATTTCCTGCCCCTTAAACATTTTAATATTTATTAATGGAATATTGAATAGCTTTTGCACTGTTTTTTGATCCTGTTTGTGTCTTAGTACTTGTGACATTGTTACTCATTGTACACAGTGTTCTTTTTGTACTGAGCACCACTGTACCAAAGTAATTTCCTTCTAGGGTAACCCCCTTAGCAAAAAAAAACTTTACTGATGACCAAAATACGCCCCATTCTGATGTTCAGGCGACAGCCAGAATCGTGAGAGTGATGCAAGCCCATTGATGATCCCAATATCGAACTGAGGAACTTGAGACTGAACCAGCCTGGACATCATCACAATGGCCTTTTATAACTGCTTAAGAAGACTCTGGAGCCACTGGAGAACACAGGAGCACAGGCACACGCTCACGGCATTGTGTCTGTGGGCCATATCACGCTTCGGAGGGCTCTAAGAATGAAATCCATTTGCATGTCCGACAGCAAACCTCACAAGGATTTAAATTAGTAACTTACCATGCACAAAGGCCCCCACCAGCCAGGAAAAACGTGACCAAAATGCAAACTCATCCAGGAAATCCCTCTTCTGGTCTGATTAATGCAACCATTATGTAAAATCAAATTAAATCCATGTGGCTTCGAAGGCCATACCTGGGTCTTATCTGACCTCTTGTAAACAGCACTGCCCGCATACAGCCCATAGCCATGTACACATAGCTGCCACCCGGGTGGCACTCGGTCAAAAGCGCCACATGAAATCCTTCCCACATAATAACTGATTCTGGGCCAGATCCACTTGCATCTCCTTTAGTCTGGGCAGCAGTGACATTTGGGCAAGATGGTCTTTGCCAAAATCTGTCTAAATGCGTACAGTTAGTCTGCATACACTCTGAACGTGCACTGGACCATATAGGTAAGATCAGTCACTTACCAGATATGCAGCTGATGCGCTAAGAGTCTGAGGGACGATTGTCCCATATAGCAAGATGAGTCTAAACTGGATCTGGGCCAAATGTTCAGAAATCGCTACAGATCCATAAGCTGGAACTGGTCCGGCCTGTATCTGCACCAGTGAAAAGTTTATGTATATATATGTGTGTGTGTATATATATTAAATCATTTATTGGTCAAGGAAAAAAAAAAAAAAAAAACAAAAAAACAAAAAAAAAAAAACATAATATACAACACAATATATATGCAATATACAGAGCCCACACAGGGGTAGTGGGTGGCTCAGTGGGCTAAGGCTCTATGCCTGTGATCAGGTGGTCACTGGTTCAAGCCCAGCCTTAGCAGAACAGTCACAGGGCAGAGCCCAGAGCAAGGGCTGTGCAACTCACAGAGACAGGTACTACACATGTGAGTGAATCCTTTATTTGTCAAGAAAGGGGAAAAAAAACACATATACACGATATACAGAGCACATGCACAGGAGTGCAAGTGGCTCAGCAGTTTAAGCCTCTGTACCTATGATCAGAAGGTCACTGGTTCAAGCCCAGCCTCACCAGATTAGTCACAGGGCAGACTCTAGAGCAAGGGCCTTAACCTGAGCACTCAGAGACAGGTACTACATGTGAGTGAATCCTTTATTTATCAAGAAAGGGGAAAAAAACACATATACACGATATACAGAGCACATGTACAGGAGTGCAAGTGGCTCAGCAGGTTAAGCCTCTGTGCCTGTGATCAAAAGGTCACTGGTTCAAGCCCAGCCTTGGCAGAACAGTCACAGGGCAGTCCCTAGAGCAAGGGCCTTACTCCTAACACCCACAGAGACAGCTGCTGCATGTGTGGGAATCCTTTATTTGCAATTTTTTGGGCAAAAAAAGGGAGTGGTGAGTGGTTTAACCTCTGTGCTGTGATCAGGTCAGTGGCTCAAGCCTGCCCTCCGCAGAATAGTTACAGGGCAGGTCCTTGAGCACACTGGCTGATTCTGTAGTGAGAACACGCACGCACACACACACACACACACACACACACACACTCTCTACAGGGTCAGTCAGTGAGTTCAAGGGCCTGCCCTGTAACTATTCTGCGGAGGGCAGGCTTGAACCACCAAACACAACCTTCTAATCACAAGCACAGAGACTTAGCCAACTGAGCCACTCACCAGCTCCACTTGGATTGGATCTGAATTTAACTTTTTACTCTCAACCATGTACGGGCCAGACCAGATCCAGTTTACAGATCTGTAGAGATTTCTGAACAACTTTTGGCCCAGATCCAGTTCAGACTCCACTTGCTATGTGGCCCTCAGACTCTTAGCACATCAGCTCTGTAATGTCCGCAGTGGATTTACTTCTCTGCATTGCACTTGGTGATGCAAGGCTTGGATGCGGCTGCTCGGCCATGGAAACCCATTCCATGAAGTTGTTTACACACTGTTCTTCAGCTAATCTGAAGGCCACATGAAGTTTGGAGGTCTGTAGCTATTGACTCTGCAGACAGTTGGTGACTTCTGCACACTGTGCGCCTCAGCATGCGTTGTCCCCGCTCGGTGATTTTACTTCATGGCTGAGTTCACCGTGGAATATTAGTTAGTGAGGAAATTTCACGAATGGACTTATTGCACAGGTGGCATCCTATCACGGTACCACGCTTGAAGTCACTGAGCTACTGTGTGTGAGCCTTCCAGGTTGTTGTGTGACCTCCCTGCGTTTACCTGCTATGTGTGGCGCTGTGCTGTTCCTTAAGTACGGTCCTTTTCAGGACAACATTAAAGGAGCAACTTTGTGCCAGTTCCTGCCTCATGTTTGTTTGCCACCTCCATCACTATGTCTTGGTCTGCCTGGCACCACAATACAAACAAATGAAACAGGCTGCGGCTCTGAAAATTTATTTACTACAGGCATGTGACTATCGATTTAATAGTTCAAAAGAACAGACGACACTCGTCTCCAAATTCCATTCAGAAACCATGCTTGATGCCGCGCTCAGTCTAAATATAATGACAATGATGGTGTAGGAATATATTGTTCATGTGTTTGCTAGGAAATGCACGACTTAAATCTGGCTGTTTTTAACCAGCATGCCGGCTTACCTAAATACATTGACACACCTCTGGGTTGCAGCACTGTCTGCAACATCATTACAGTGTGTAACTGAGGTATGCATTACTGAGAACCATGAGCTAAATAAATACAAACACCAACTAAGGATGCACAGATCAATACTTAAATGTATTATAACCAGTGGTTCCAGTAACACTAGATAGCTGCAAAGAACTGTACTTCAAGAAGCTGTATAAATTCTAAAGAAATTGGCTATTAACATAATGAAATATAAAGTACAGATATTTTATGGGTTCCACTGAAATAAAGGTAGCTGATTACGAGATCTCGGTATGTATGTTGATGTTTCCATGTCCCACTCTCGCCAGTGTGGGGAAGCAATAAAAAAGGCGAACAGAATGTTGGGTTATATCTCTAGGTGTGCGAAGTTTAAGTCAAGGGAGGTGATGCTACAATTATACCATTCCTTGGTAAGACCGCATCTAGAATATTGTGTGCAGGTTTTGTCACCATACCTTAAAAAGGACATTGTGGCCTTAGAAAAGGTGCAACAGAGGGCTATGAGAATGATTCCTGGTCTTAGAGGAATGTCTTATGAGGAGAGGTTAGCGGAACTGAATCTGTTTAGCCTTGAGCAAAGGAGACTAAGGGGGGATATGATTCAGGTCTATAAGATTCTAACGGGTCTGGATGCTGTTCAGCCAAATGACTATTTCAATATTAGTCTAAATACTAGAACTCATGGCCATAAGTGGAAATTAGCAGAACATTTTAAAACAAATTTGAGCAAGCACTTCTTTACATAGCGTGTAGGTAGAGTATGGAATAATCTTTTTGCTAGTGTAGTGGAAGCTAGAACCATGGGTTCCTTTAAATCAGAGCTAGATAAGATTAACAACTCTGAGCTATTAGTTAAGTTCTCCCCAAACGAGCTTGAGGGGCCGAATGGTCTCCTCTCGTTAGTAAATTTCTTATGAGATTCTTTACATACATAGGCTTATATTTCAGTTGTATGCTGGGTTTGGATTACAAGATACTATACCACAGTGATAAATATCAGGGACCAGTATAAATACTATCCCATTCGAAATGCACACTAGACGGAAATCAGCATCAAGAGCATTACGTTAAAAGGGAAACGGGTGCTCTTTCGAGACTTTTTAGGCGGCTCTTAAAAGAGCCTTTGTTTGAAGGCAATTTCTACCACAAAAAAATTAAGCACGTTCACCGCGGATACGGCGAGCCAGCTGAATATCTTTAGGCATGATGGTGACTCGCTTGGCATGAATGGCGCACAGATTGGTGTCCTCAAACAAACCAACCAGATAGGCCTCGCTTGCCTCCTGCAGCGCCATAACAGCCGAACTCTGGAAGCGCAAGTCGGTCTTGAAATCCTGAGCGATTTCCCTCACCAGACGCTGGAAGGGCAGCTTGCGGATCAGCAGCTCGGTGGACTTCTGGTAACGCCGGATCTCTCGCAGAGCCACAGTTCCGGGCCTGTAGCGATGAGGCTTCTTGACGCCGCCTGTGGCCGGAGCACTTTTACGTGCCGCTTTGGTAGCCAGCTGCTTCCTGGGCGCTTTGCCACCAGTGGACTTACGCGCAGTCTGCTTGGTTCTTGCCATGCTTACGACTTCACTATATTTCGGAAATAGGACTGTAGGTTTCTCTGCTGCGACGCGAAGTTTTAAAGCAATACTGAGCCGTTTCGATTGGTTGAGTTTTTTCCACGCTGGTACATTGATGTCTTCGTTCCTCTTCTTATTGGGTGAGGAGCTTTGGCGCCCAAAATCAAATACGCCCCCCGGCCTTTTCAGCTGTCACTATGGAAATTACAAACGAAACGTCCAACAAAAGTTTTATGTATATTCAGCATCAAAAACATGACCAGTAAATAGAAGCTTCTGGCTGCTAGTAAACTGCATATCAGCAAAATGTGTGTTGAAAATTGTACGTATGGGGGCAGAATGATGCGTGATAAAGTGAATGGCCCCGTTCATTGAAGATTAGACCGCATGCACGCAAAACACACAGAAATACACACCAGCAAAACCGACATTGAAGTACCATGGTAGTATATCGATTAAGTGCAACTGGTGGAGAAAAAAAAACCCATTATAAACGTAAGGGAAGACCCAAGAAAAAAAAAAACTATTCCAATAGCGTGCGTGTTTTTTTTGGGGGGTCCACGTTAGCCCGGACTTCGCGACAAAAACCTTGTGCGTCTTCTGAGTAATTCTGACCAGGGTAGCTTGCATACATTATGTTTAGGGACCCACATCATGCTTTTAATGCATCGAGAATTATAAGAGCAATACAAAACGCGGTCAGCTGACGTCTTCGCCAACCTAAGACTTTCACCCTTTTCAGAAAGAAATTGGTGGCTCTTAAATGAGCCGTTTGGGGACCCACACCATGCTTTTAATACATCGAAAACTATAGGCGCAACATAAAACACGGTCGACTGACGCCTTCACCAACCTAAGATTTTCACCCTTTTGCGAAAAAATTGGTGGCTCTTAAAAGAGCCGTTTGGTGGTCAATGCAAGTCCAAGACGCTAGTTTACTTGGTCTTAGCCGGCTTCTCAGTCTTCTTGGGCAGCAGCACAGCCTGGATGTTGGGCAGCACGCCGCCCTGTGCGATAGTCACACCACCCAGCAGTTTGTTCAGCTCTTCGTCGTTACGAACAGCAAGCTGCAGGTGACGAGGAATGATGCGCGTCTTCTTGTTGTCGCGGGCAGCGTTACCAGCCAACTCCAGGATTTCAGCAGTGAGGTATTCTAGCACAGCAGCCAAATAGACTGGAGCTCCAGCACCAACTCGCTGTGCATAGTTACCTTTGCGGAGCAGCCTGTGAACACGGCCAACAGGGAACTGCAAGCCAGCCCTGGAAGAACGAGTCTTGGCCTTAGCCCGAGTTTTGCCACCGGTTTTGCCCCTACCACTCATCTTAATACCACTAGCAGAAATAGCAACAATAATACTTTACCTTCCGGGCTGCCTCACTTATACGAAATACAACAATTTCATTGGCTGCACCCGTTCATGTGACGTTGTCCAATCAAATCGAAGGACTGAACCTCACAAATGTTGAATGGCGGCGCGATTAATTCCTTAGTATTTTTATTTGCTATTAAAATGTTTATACGCAATACTTTGCCTGACAATAAAACGTGCAATATGGTTATTGTACATTTTCAGTATTATCTATTAAAATGTTTCATTTTCGATGCATAGACGCTTAATAATTACGTATACATTTGTTTTCTAGATGTAATTCATCTCATTTTACAAGGCATGCCAAAGTCAACATACAACTATAATGGAAAGAAACACTTAACCGTGTCGCTGTGTATTCCCCACCCTACATAAGACGTTTCTGCAGTGTAAAATCATAGTTTAGGTGAAATATAATTTAAAGACAACGCTCTGTTTCTGAGATCAGTGGGTGGCTCTTAAAAGAGCCTTTGTTTTCCCAAGGTCTGGAAGTCAGCGCCTGTTCCTTCACTTCTTCTTGGGAGCGGCTTTTCTGGCTTTGGTAGCCTTGGGTTTAGCGACTTTAGGCTTGGCTGCCTTTGCTTTCTTTGGGCTTTTGGTGGCCTTCTTTGCTGCCGCCGGCTTTTTCGCCTTCTTGGGACTCTTGGTGGCTTTCTTGGCTACGGCCGGCTTCTTTGCCTTCTTGGGAGACTTTTTGGCGGCCGCCGGCTTCTTCGCTGGGGAGGCCGCCGCCTTCTTGGGCTTCTTCGCCGCTGCCGGTTTCTTTGCTGCTGGCTTCTTGGCCTTAGGAGCGGCTTTCTTCGCGGGCTTCTTGACGGTTTCGCTCTGCTTCTTGTTCAGCTTGAAGGAGCCAGAGGCGCCGGTTCCCTTGGTCTGAACCAGAGTCCCTTTGGTCACCAGAGCCTTAATCGCTAGCTTTAGGCGGGAGTTGTTCCTCTCCACGTCGTAGCCACCGGCTGCCAGAGCCTTCTTCAGAGCGGCAAGAGACACGCCACCCCTTTCTTTGGAGGCGGACACAGCCTTCACAATCAGCTCCCCGACACTGGGACCTGATTTCTTAGGCTTAGGTGCCGCTTTCTTCTTGGGTGCCTTGGCCGGAGCGGCGGCGGGAGCCGGAGCAACTTCTGCCATTTTCCTATTAACTCTTCACTTTCGGATGTGCCACACAATCAGCGAATCTGGTCTGTTCGTACTGGTGCGTCACGGTGGGTCCTCCTTAAACTCGCCATGAGAACCATGTAGACTCAACCTCCACGCCGCTGTCTGTGCAGAGCGCGCGACGTCGCTTTCACTTGTGTTTTCTCCTCGCGCAAAACTGCGTTAAAATCAGCCGATGAGCTGTATTAGTGTTTACTAACAAATGTGGCCTTAATATAAGATCCGTCTATTTGAAAGTAAGTTGTGTTTTTCCAGAGATCACACTGGATATTATTTGAATTCCTCAAAAACTTTGCTTCCATCCCGAAGATCAGCTAACGTTCACGGCTTTTGCCTTGATTTTAGGGGAAATAACACATTAAAACATTACAGCTAAAGACCGAATACGGGGTAGCAGTTTACAGCAAGACCCTTTACATTTAAATAACGTGGTTGTGTTCCCGTTATGGCATTCCCCAATTTTTAAAACGGATCAACCTCTAGTTCATTAAAGCACACTTGAGACTTCATCTAAGTACCCGCGCTACTCATTTCAAAAGAGATTCTGTCTCCTTTATACATNCCAATTTTTAAAACGGATCAACCTCGAGTTCATTAAAGCACACTTGAGACCTCATCTAAGTACCCGCGCTACTCATTTCAAAAGAGATTCTGTCTCCTTTATACATTACCCTCATAATGGATAAAGCCATAAACCGAACGATATGCAACATATAAAAAGTGGAATAAAGTGATGAAGTAGAATTTAAAAACTTAGTAGAAATGACTTCCCTATTACCAGCACTGCGCTCATTACACACTTTCTTCTCTTATCTCAGCTAGCAACGTATGACATAATGTATGCTTAATTCTGATTTCGCCTTCAATCACAATAATACCAATTATTTAGCTACAATGTACAACTCGATCCATTTTCGCCTTACCTGGGTATTCGTTCTATTTTATTATTATTGATAAGAATAAAAATAATAAATGTATATCTCCCAAAATATGGCCCCTTTTAAGCTGTATCAGGTTTTCTTGGTTCTCCCTCATTTTTCAAATGGCAACTAAAACAAGTGTAATGGTATCACGTGTGGACAGTTGAACATAATTGTTCATTGCTTCACACAAATCTCCAGATGTTTCAGTACACGCATTCACGTGGTCTTGTACCATTGTCATCAACTGAGATTATTTTCATTTGCTTTAGTTTTTTGCACATGCAAAACTGTATATGTAACTGATCATAATGTAAGCCACCACACACCAAGCAGTTCACCAAACTTTCAGAATGAAATTCAAAAATAAATCCAAAAATTCGCAGCGATGTGGAATTGTTGTATCTTTGCTCCACACAGTACATGATTTTCATTCCATTTTGTTCTCGTATTGCCATTTTGCAGTGCTATGTGACTTTTCTATTCACTATTTATTGTACTGTGTCTTGAGATCTGAAAAATGCACGTGAGTGTTTTCTCTTGGCAGTGAACTTTACATACTGTAAGGTAGAGCTTTGCACTGGTGAAACCGGTATCTATGACAAGAATAAAAATTAGTTTGCTAGGAAAAATGATCAGTCAGTGAGAATTGCGGAGCTCAGCCACATACAGTTGTGTTCAAAATAATAGCAGTCCAACATGACTAACCTGATCAATCACCGTTATTGGTAGAAATTATATTTCTACATGGCAAATAATTTACTAGTAGGTGTAGTAGAGTAATGGAAAACCAACAGACCCAACAGTCATGACATGCATGCTGCTGATTATGTATAACAGAATCATTACTTCAAAGGGGTGAGTTCAAAATAATAGCAGTGTGAAGTTCAATTAGTGAGGTCATTCATTCTGTGAAAAACCAGGTGCCAATTATGGGCCTTATTTAAGGATGGAAGGCAGCAAATGTTGTACATGCTGGTTATAGTGCATTTCTCTTTGAAATTCCGAGTAAAATGGGTCATTCCAGACATTGTTCAGAAGAACAGCATGCCTTGATTAAAAAGTTGATTGGAGAGGGGAAAACATATGAAGAAGTACAGAAAATGATGGGCTGCTCAGCTAAAATGATTGGTAATGCTTTAAAATGGCAACCAAGACCTACAAGATGTGGAAAAAGATGAAAAACTACCATTCGAATGGATCAAAGAATAGCCAAAATGGCAAAGAGCCAATGATCAGCTCCAGGAAGATCAAAGAAGGTCTAAAGTTACCTGTGAGTCCTGTTACAATCAGATGACGCCTATATGAAGCCAAGCTATCTGCAAAAAGCTCCCGCAAAGTCCCATTGCTGAAAAAATGACACGTGCCGAAGAGGTTACAATTTGCCAAACTGACTGGCCTAAAGAGAAACGGCACAACATTTTGTGGACTGATGGAAGCAAGATTGTTCTTTTTTGGGTCTAGTGGCTGCAGACAGTTTGTCAAATGACCCCTAAACACTGAATTCAAGCCACAGTACACTGTGAAGACAGTGAAGCATGGTGGTGCAAGCATCGTGATATGGGGATGTTTCTCATACTACGGTAGTGGGCCTATTTATCGCAAACCAGGGATAATGGATCAGTTTGAATACCTCAAAATACTTGAAGAGGTCATGTTGCCTTATGCTGAGGAGGAAATGCCCTTGAAATGGGTGTTTCAACAAGGCAACGACCCCGAACACATGAGCAACATCTTGGTTCCAGACCAACAAGATTGATGTTATGGAGTGGCCAGCCCAATCCCCGGACCTTAATCCAATAGAAAACTTGTGGGGTGACATCAAAAATGCTCTTTCTGAGGCAAAACCAAGAAATTTAGTCCAATCAGGCTGCAATACCTGTTCACAGGTGCCAGAAGTTGGTTGACTCCATACAACACAGATGTGCAGCATTTATCAGAAACAGTGGTTATACAATTAAATATTAGTTCAATGATTCAAAGGAAAGCAAAATCTTCAAACATTTTTCAGTTCATACAGTGAATCTTTGAGTTTGTAAAGAAGAATGTGGACACTGCTACTTTTTTGAACAGCCTAATATTCCCTTTCCTTCACTTTCTGTAAAGGAGTAACACAAATGTGATGAATTTCTCTTCTTGTTTTGATTAGGAATAGAATTTGCTATGATCCTGATGCATTTGGTATATGGAAATAAAAACTATTATAAGGATTTTCAGCTTCATTCACTTTTTTAGACACACTGCTACTTCTATTGTTTTTATTTTTGCGGCTCTATTCTTGTACTGTCCACTTTCTGCCTTGACAGTCTAAATTTCCCATTTGTGGGATTAATAAAGTTTTATCTTATGAACCGGCCTATAGTCCGTGTCATATGGCATACTGCTGTATTTTGAGATTCACCAAGAATTTGCCCCCCATAGCAAAATTCAAAATGCTAGTGGTTAAACAGTAGCTATATATAGCTATATGTAGCTATATGTAGCTATATATATATATATGATATTGTCAGAACAGCATGAACAATTAGATATACAGATACCTCTGGCCATGGACTGGCCACCTGGCATACCGGGAATTTCCCAGCGGGTCGATGCATATCTGGACCCCCGTTCAGCAGAATAGTTCTGGCTATGCCTGCCAAGGCCACGGACATGCGCAGTCACACACATGGACGCTCAAAATTTCCTATTGACATAAAAATCTAGCTGCACGCACAAAAACCACAAATTCTCAGCAGACCCCTGGCGACAAAATTTATTTGACTTATGTAAATAAGGGATGTTATAACATGGATGTCCAGCACAAAATCAGTCCACTGCTTTAAGGCATCACTCTACACATTTGACCAGTAATAAATAACTAGATCTAAACCACATGCAAAATATAGAGCTGTTAAGGTGAAATAATATAACCACCGAACGGCTAATTGAGGAGCTTTTAAAATCCTTCCTCTTCCAGAATTTCACATGAACACATCACAGTAACAATTCTACACTAATCCTTCAAACTAAGAATTTGTAAACAACCTTCAAGCGAACTCTGTGTCCTAATTTTAGTCATTTCTAGTTCAGCATATAACCACAATATGAAACCCCGTAAGCGCGAAAAGCTTCGCGACGGCGTTTGCTCTCTTCCGACTTTATAGGTGGCTCTTAAAAGAGCCTTTGGTTTCCTTTTGCAAAGCGGCAGAAGCTTTACTTGGAGCTGGTGTACTTGGTGACCGCCTTGGTTCCCTCAGAAACGGCGTGCTTGGCCAGCTCGCCAGGAAGCAGAAGGCGCACGGCTGTCTGGATCTCCCTGGAAGTGATGGTGGAGCGCTTGTTGTAGTGAGCCAGGCGGGACGCCTCACCAGCGATACGCTCGAAGATATCATTGACGAAAGAATTCATGATACCCATGGCCTTGGAAGAAATACCCGTGTCCGGGTGAACCTGCTTCAGGACCTTGTACACGTAAATGGCGTAGCTCTCCTTCCTAGACCTCTTGCGCTTCTTTCCCCCCTTTCCGGCAGTCTTCGTCACTGCCTTCTTCGAGCCCTTCTTGGGCGCAGACTTCGCTGGTTCAGGCATGTTTCCTACTCGCTATCAAACACAAGCAATGGGAAGCAAGATAACTCGACCTCCTTATATAATGGTTGTATCCAAATCAGACAGGAAACCTCGGAAAGCCATTTCATTGGACAGCTAAAGACCGCCAGATGACATTCAAATTCTATTGGCTCAGTTCTACTACTCTCACGAAGCCCTTTTTCTTACATACAGCCATTCCGCACTCAGGAATTCACAAAGTAAAATGGTATTATTTTAATACGTTTTATTTTATTGCCTTATTTAGCCATTTTAAGGTAGGCTGACTTTCGAGCACGGCTAACCACCACCATAGAAATAACAATCAGATGCGTTTCTCTCAAATTGTTGGCCTCAAACATATCTCGGTCCCTCCAAGATTTTTGCCTCAGCAGAAATCAACGCAAATTAACTTCGCTGTAGGAACACAACGAACACGTCTCATTTACCAAAAAAACCGAAGCATAAGCTGTTTAGTTGAAGCATTTTAGCAGTCTACCACACTATATTATTTCAGTGTAGCTGTTCGAACGATTCACGGCCACATTATGATTTTCACGGATGTTGATCATCTTAATAAAGCCATAATCCGCACAGAAATTGTGACCTGAGCCGGCAGAACACGACTTTAATGGAATGTCCTCAAAATTAAAGTTCCTGGGGTCGCATTCTTGCCATTTCCTGCGTTTCATGTGTTACATATAGTACGATAACTACATTGCAATTAATAAGCAGCTACAGACTCATGCGTCTTGTTCTGGGGTGGGGGGACAGAAATCCACCCATAGCGTGAAATCGCTAATTCATTCGCGCACTATTGTGCAAAGTGCGTCCTTAAGAAAAACACCCATTGATCATAGCACGCAATACTTGATTTGCCTTTTAGGACGAAGTGTGTGGCTCTGAAAAGAGCCTTTGGGTCTTTAGACTTCCTCGCTGTAGCTTTCACGCTTAGCCG